GCAATTCGCGTCATATTTTTAAAAAATTCAAATATTCAAGAAAACAATGCATTTTAATGTTAAGTTAGTGTGCTAACGCAAGCAAAAAATCCGATTGTTTATTAACCACTAAGAACAACATTACAAGAATGATGAGTGTTTGATGGGTCAAGGACAATCTCTCCATTTGCTTACTCTTGTTCCTACTAATATCACATCCGATGCCAAGTTATGTTAACCAAGATTATTGTTGGTGACTCTTTTGTGGAGATCAAGTTTCCAGGAATCGTAAACTAAAATCCATTTGTCACTGAGCATGTTTGTTTGAAATATTAACACATAATCCGTCACTTGTAGTAAATTTTTACCAGACTCGAGCACCAGAGATTGGACGAGATCTATTAATCAGCGCATTATTATACCAAAAAATGCAAGTTTACACTGAATCTGGTCAATTTACTAGTAAAACAATTATGTTTATTGTTTTTCTTGTGATGGCAAACTGCGGGAAAGCAACTGACCGTTCACCGAGACTCTGCACATCGACACTCTCACTGAAATGTACTGCCTGACAGCTTACAATGTGTAAGTTTGTATGTACTATGTATGTAGAGGGAATGTCTATGCTATACAACTCATTGGACTAGTGAGCTATGCAACTCACTACGCATCGTGATTTAGAGGCACTTTCAGACACTTCTCAGATTTAGATTTAGATTTATTTAGTAAAAGAACAGTAAAAGCTGTAGAGGGGGAGGAGATGGGGAAGAAGATTATCTGCGCACGTTTTCTTGAGTTCCAGAATGCCTTCCCGTCATTTTAACTATAAACGGTTGAACAATGAGTAAAAGTTTAACATAAATAAAAATAAATTTTAACAATCGCAAGATTAGCAAAATTTGAAAAAATAGGCAGTTTCGTTTCCGAGTTACAGAAAACGTATTTTCATCGGTAAACGAATTACAAGTATGATTGCTAACAAAATAGTAACTCGCCCTTACTTCCACTCTTACCATTACAAACAAAAGGCGAATTCAACAAAAAATGCGCATAGTGAAGTCACATTTACGTCCAGAAGCAAATCAAGGGGCCATCTCAGCATGTGCTCAATGGATCAGAGCTTCTTAATACTTCAAATCTATTTAACTATATGCATACAATATTTGCATATGTATATCCCGCAAGGTTTTCACTCGACCGTGTTTCCCCAACAGTGTTCCTGCGCAGGGTTCCGGGACGTCGGCGCTTCGCCCCGCTAGTGTCTGTGGTGGGTGCGCGTCTCCAGCGTCGCTATGGCAATGCTGATCGATGGGCTCCCCATTATGTAAATGATTAGCGGCGCCCCCTGCTTTGCTGCACTCGCTGGCGCCTTATGCAGTTTAGCCGGGTTACCAGTAGTCCGTTGCCGGGTTCAGATAGCTGTCGAAAACCCGGGATGCGGTTCCATTTCTCAAAAATTGAGGCCAAACAGTGAAGTCAGAGTGAGGCGCAACAAATGCTGCAATATGGTGATTTAAATAGAAAATTATATTCTGATTTAGTTGCTAAAAGCTTTGGAATTTTAAGTAGAATTAAATCACTGTTTGTGAAATCTGCGATTATTGTTCGGAAGAAATGTTTTGATGTGTGAAAATAGACGGGTATTACTTGTTAGGTATCGTATTTGGAATATTGTGAATTTATAGATCACGTGGGGCTAAGTGCGCTTTGCTGCACTTGAGAACTGCTAATTATGCTAAAAAGGCTAATTTCTGAAAATAATTTGAGTTATATAGTACAGCGAATTTATTACCACTGTTTTTATCGTAGTTTCTGTGTTCCTTGACGTCAATGTTTTATTCATTATCGTAGTGTAAAATTCCGAAACCAATAAGAAGTGTAAATATTGGGATAAAGTTTGATGGGAATGAAATGGCAATGGGCATTCAAAAAATATTACATGTCAAAAGTTTTTCTAAAGGCTAAAACCTTGTTTATTTCTAGTTCGTTTGACAAGGAGCGTTCTGGCGTCAGGAGGTTTTTGATCTGTACATAAGTATTAGTAGTAATAAGAATCAATAGCATTAGAATATTTACACCAAACAACAAAAAAAGAACAACAACAGCATCAGCTAAGAAGTATTAATCATATGAATAATCAATCGCTAGCCCTAGTGAGAGAGTAGAGTCTGCTGCTGTCTTGCTGTAGCTGCGATAATGTACAAAGTCGGCGTCCGAGTCTTCACCGAATGATTGGCGTAGGAGGCGAAGGCACGCGGCAGGCCGTGAAGCGATTAGAGGCATTCGCCGGCAAACAGAAATTTATCAAAAGTAACAAAACGTGTGCTCATTATTTCGTGATTTCAGATCGAGAAACTCGCTTCGTTTCCCAAGCCTCCGCTTCGCGATATGCCGCGCAGCAAGTTCTGAACGTGCCCGCCAGATGTCACCCCCTGCAACGCCGGCGTCGACCGCGTCCGGGTGGGGAATCGATCGTGGCGGGTCGCGCTCGTTGTCTTGACGAACGTCCGTCTATTCGTCCGTCCGTCCGCCGCCATCACCGCTGCCGTTGCCACGTTTCCCCCCGAAACGAAACTCCCAACACACTCACGCCCGCAGTCATCACCCACGAAGCACTTTGTCGCGACACAACACCTCACACCCCATTCTTCATCTTGGGTTTCTTCAGGCGCTCTGCGCGGCGAAGCGACGCGTTGCGCTTTTCAGGGCGTCCGAACGTCCCTCCCTAGCCTCCTCACGGAAGAATTTGTTCTGTCGCTTACTGGCGAAAGCAGGGAAACACTTCTGGCCTCGAGGGGGGGGGGCGGTCGTTGTCAAAAAGGGTACACGATGTCTGGAAAATAATAGAAGTGCAATTGCGAAGTTGAGGCATTTCCAGCAATGTGGTATGAATGTCAATTTTTTGTTATTAATTTCTACTATGATGAGAACGCCAACAATGGCCCTACCAGTTTAATAAAAATGTTTACTTAAGGGGGTTTTATCGATACCAAAGTTCAAAGATCAACTAGATCGTTAAAAATAAACCATTCGATTTTTTTTCTAAAGGTACGTACGAAACAGCCATTCACGTTTCATTTCGAGCTTGCGTGCATTTTTTGTCAATATTTATTCTTCTCGTTGCCCTTCCTTCCACCTTCCAGACGTGTTTATTCTAGTGGGGCGATGCGCGAGGGGAGGGAGCGAGCGAAAAAACAAGTGAACGGCGCGGCGCGGCGCGGTCCAGCGGAGGCGGTGCTAGGGCGCGCGTCCCTGCCACCGCCGCCGCCGCCGCCGCCGCCGCCGCCCTGCTCCTCGGCGGGTTATAAATGTTGCGGCGTCGGCGCCCCGCGGCGTCGTCTCTCAATTAGCGCCCCGGGCGATGGTATCGCCCCCCGGCGCGGGCGTTGACGGCTCCATCGCCCGCCGGGGGCCGCTGGCTATCTGCGCCGGGTCGCGCCCCGCCGGCCTCGGACGCCCGGCGTCGCCCGGCGTCGCGCCGCGTCGCCCGCGTAAAGTGAAAACGCGCTCGCCCACGCTCGCCCCCCGCCGCCTCGCTCTCTCGCTCGCCCTGCCGGCCCCGGCGCCATCTGATAGCGCCCCTCGCGGCCCTGCTCGCACCCTAAGCGCCAGATAAACGTAATAAAGAGCCCATCGAGCATCGGGAATGCTAACCTAATTAAAACAAAGCGTGTTCGTTTCGAGAAAACATTTCTCGTGTTTTTAAATGGAAAACCATTACGTAGGCTCTTCCGAGTTATTTAGATTATATCGAATGACAACATGAGTATGTTTAACGTATTTTTAATTTAAAAGTTATATTCCACTTCATATTTCAAAGTAGGCGTTAATTGTGCATTGGACGGTGATGCTTGTGTAGAAAGAACGGCTGTAGAAAAATTATCTTATGTGTCACGGAAGTAGTGAAGAGCTCTGAGAATTTATTTCTAACATATGTCATTAGCGTCGTGAAACAATATTACAGAGCATACGACAAACATTTTTCAGTAGCGTTCCCGATGCAAGCTGGTGTTTGAACTTTCATTTTATTCGCAGGACGCATCGCTTCTAGGAGTGAAAAATTGTTCCTTATGCGAGAATCGGACCCTGTTGATGCAGCAGAGGCTCTGGGAGTGATGCTAGTAGCATAGTGAACGGTAGTGAACATTTTTCTCTCCAAAAAAAAGTTTTTTAAAAAAAGAAAGAAATATTATGTATATTGCAGAAGTTAAGTTTCTTGAGGAGTGAGTTTGTTCAAGTCCCTTAATAACGAAGATGTTAAAGCACTTGGTTGCGTGAGAGCAGCCCGCTCGCTGCCCCGAGTCCCTCACGCGCCGCCCGCGCGACGCCCACGCGCGCCGCTTCAGCTGAGCTGGTAGTACTCGGGCGCGAAGTCGTTGGCCAGGTTGCTCAGGAAGTTGAAGTCGGACGACGAGTTGGAGTTGTCGCCCGCGCCGGCAGCGGCCGCGGCGGCGGCGGCCTGCTCGCCGTAGAAGTGGTGCTGCTGGGGCGGGGGCCCGGCGGGGCCCGGTCCGCTCTGCTGGGGCGCCGTCTGCGGGAAGCCTCCGAAGGAATCGCCGGAGTCGCCCGGGGGCGTCTGCACGGACTGCGGGGGCGTCATGACGGCGGCGGTGGCGGCGGCGATGGCCGTCGCCATGGTGGTGACGCCGGTGCCCGCGGGCCCGCCTCCGCCCGGCGCCATGGGGAACGGGTCCGGGGACGAGACGAAGTTCCGCCGGAGGGATGTTGCGGGTCGCTCAGCCCTGGTCCGGTGCGACTATCGCGCGCCTGGTGTGCGCCTGCGTAGTAACTGTGGTGGTTTGGGAGGCCACAGCCGTCTGAAGTCCCATGTGCTGGGGGTATCCGGCGCGTTTGGTGCGGGTCGCATTTTGTTCGGCGGCTGATGTTGCCGGCACGCCGGCCGGTTTCGTGGGTAGTATACGTGGAGGCGTCCACGTGGTGGCTCCCGTCTGGCGCCAGGGTGGTGGTACTGCGTGGTGGCTGGTCAGCCGCCCCTCCCTCCGCCTTGGTAGACCGCTGTCTCATGGTAGCAGGTCGTGCTGCGTGGGTGATCCAGGGTGCGGGGGCCTTGCGTGCGGGTGGTGACTCTCTGCGGAGCTTTGTTGCGTGCGGTTTGACGGCGGCCGCGCCTGCTGGGTGCGTAGCGCAGTACGCCTGGTCGGCTGGGGGTACCCGTATGCTCGTCGGTGTGCCGGCCGCGCTGCGTGGTGGTATCCGTTGTGAGCGACGGTTACTCGCTGCTGCGGTAGCCGCTGGGCGCCGCCGCCGCGGGGCGCTGGTAGCCCGCGGTGTCGCCTGGGCGCGCGCGGGTGCACGGAGCCGTTTTGAGTCGCTGGTGCGCGCGCGCAGGTAGCCGTCGTAACAGCCGGGCACCCGCTGCGCGCGGCGCGTAGCACTGCGCCTGCACGGTTGCGGGGGCTGCGGCGCGCCGCGGGGTCGCGGGGGTGCGGGCCGCCGCGAGGGCCCGCCCCGGGGAAGCGCCCACGGTGGCGCGCGCGGCCCAAGCCCCGGCCCACGGGCCGACCCAGGCGCGGCGGCGCGTGGCGGGGCGGGCCGGGGGCGGGGCGATAGGCGCGCTGCGCGCGGAACACGCGCCCCGGGGCCAGCGGGCCTGGGCATGCTGCTGCGGCGTGCCCGGGGGTGGAGGACGGGTGAGGGCCGCTCCGCGGGGCGGGACCGCCCCCGGCGCGCGGCGTCGGCGCGCCGGCTCCCACGCCCAGGTCGCGGCCCCGCACGCGTCCTTGGCCGCCGCTGGTCTTGCATCTTGCAGTGCAGCGGAGGGGACCGCCCCCGGGCCCGGTGGGCCCGCCCCGCGGGGCCGCGCCCGCGGCCTCACCTTCACCAGCACGTCCAGCTTCTTGGCGGCGGCGGGCGCGGGCCAGCGGCGGGGAGCCGTGACTGGAGCCGCGCGAGTCCTGCCTCGCCGCGAGCTGGTGAGGGCTGCTGCGACGCTGCTGGCCTCGCCGAGCTGGCCGCGTTGGCCCCGGCCGGCCGCCGCCGCCGCGCCGAACGCGCCCCCGCGCCGCCGTTGGCTCCCGTCCGCCCGCGAGGGGGGCAAGGTCCCCCGCAGTTGGCGCAGCTCTTGGAGCTGTTTCGTTCCTGCGCGAGCAAGCAGCAGCGCGCCGCCTGGTCCCCACCGCCCTTGCCGCCCTTCCCGGAGCCCGGCGACGCCCGCCCTTTGCCGCCCCCGCCGCCTCCGCCGCCTCCGCCGCCGCCCTCGGACCCTTCCTCGCCTTCCGCGGCCTTGCTCAGCGTCTGGCGCTTGTGCTTCATGCGCCGGTTCTGGAACCACACCTTCACCTGGCGCTCCGTCAGGTCCAGCGACGCGGCGATTTCTATGCGCCGAGGCCGGCACAGGTACTTGTTGAAGTGGAATTCCTTCTCCAACTCCAGGAGCTGCGTGTTGGTGTAGGCAGTGCGCAGCCGGCGCGGCAAACCGTTCTCTGCAACAAACATATTGCATGTGAAAAAATATATCAATGACATATAATTCGCCTTAAGAATATCGATGAAACTTGTCTTAGAGGAAAACGACATACTAAACTACGCATTTTAAACCCAGAAATAATGCTTTTAGCAATGAAACAAATCAAATTCAAGTAATGAATATAGGTGTTGTGGTGAGTTATCGTTATAGGTAGTCGTTTAGGTATCGAGAATTAGGTTACAGGTATCGACAATATAGGTGGTTGTTTTTGTGGCTTCCATACAGCAGAAAACTAATGATGATGGCTAAGCCATCGAAAGCTTCTTTTTTAATAATTAATATTGCTGGCAATGACGGCGCATATAATTATTTCAAGTAATGAATATGTTTTTCAAAGTAGTTAACAATTTTAGAAGATAATTTTTTAATATTTTTCTAACTGAACATGAAGCAATTGAGCTTTCTTGGCATTCGTTGTGCCGTACAATTTCATGGTTTAATATCCCAGAGATTAATTATTAATGTCACGTTTTCTTATCGCAGTTTCCCAGTGCACGGAGTATACAGTTCTACAAAAATAGGATTCGTGCTTTCTTTCGAAATGTTCTTAGAATTGGATTTTTTCTTGACACTTTCTACATACATTTGCTGGCAAAGAGTTATTAAAGCAATTGCCATTCTGCGCCTTTGGCTTGCAACATCTGTGTAAGTTGAGTTGCATCTGCTTCCGCGATGCTCCAAGTCCCCCTCCATTTGTCATCAGACGTCTCATCTGCAGTGACGTCGATTAGAATTCTTAATATTGAGAACTTCCCCCGATCCGCGCGCAAATGGGACCCGGCCTCGTGGGGCAATCGGAGGGAGGTAGCGGGTGTGACGGATGCGCAGGTTAAGTGAAAGTACTTTCGTTGTGAATTGTATATGAAACAGCTTGGATCGTTTTGCTTTCTGCAGATGAGCGTTTGTATTAATAAAGAAAAGTCACGGGCATTATTTGGACAAACGTTAGGAAATACAAACTCCATTTACACTCAGCTCCGAATTTGGATATGAATTGTCTTTTCGTTGTGAAATTTACGTGAAATAGCCTTGAACTATTAGCTTTGGGCAGATGAGCATATGTATTAATAAAGAAAAGTCACGGGCATTATTTGGACAAACGTTAGGAAATACAAACTACATTTACACTCACCTCCGAATATGGGTATGAATTGTCTTTTCGTTGTGCATTTTACTTGAAACAGCCTTGAACTTTTCCTTTGAGCAGATGAACGTTTGTAGTAAGTCACGGGCATTACTTGACCAAACATTAGAAAAGACGTTACGAAACTACACATTTACACTCAGCTCCGATTTTCGGTATGAATTGTTGGGAGGGGGCAAGAAATGTTTTGTTGTTGGTGGTGTTCTCGAATCAAAAACCTGAAAATTAATTGTCAGTCCAACCAGCGACTATTTTAGTTCACTGATCGATAATAAATAACATCGTGGTTAACAGCAAAATGCTAAGGATGCGACATTTTAGATGTTAAGATTTTCTATTCCGTTAAAAATTAGTATTTAAATGGAATTTGTAAAAGAATGTCAATGGATATATAAACACATCCTTATAAGATGTGGGAATAAATTCACAGGGCATTTAAGAACGAATTATACCCATAGAACTTCACAAGGAAAATATGAAATACAACTTTTAACTGAGATCAACGAATTGAGTGAAATATAGGAATGGATTAAAGTAATTTGAAGCATAGAGTGTGTAAATAGTGGTTTAAATTACTAGACTATTAGTTCTTGAGATGTTGAAACGAACTTTTTTGATACGCAGTATAGCGGGAACTTTCTGTAAGAGATTCGTTCTTCTAGGGAGATGTGAGAAATGATCGAAATGACTAATTAATAAGCGTTACACGAACGTTTCATATAGATTTCGTTGACAATAGATTTCCAAAAGATCAATAAAGAGACTGACAAAAAGAGAGATTTTTGAATATGAAAATCTGTCACATTTTCAAATTTTCTTGTCGGATTTCTACTTTCTTAAGGTACATTTCTTTTATACATTTCGGTTCCTTTTCTCCTTCTGATATTTGCTGTGTTGATATTGAAAACAAGAGAGTTCAATGTTGATGACATTTAGATTAAGCGTTTGTGGTAAATACACTAGGAATATAAATTAAATATTGGTAGTAGACACGAACCGTCATTCGTCATAACGTATGAAGTTGTGTGTCGTGTAGACAGAAATTTTAAATTTTTAATATTAGAATATTCAAGTTTCAATTCTTCTGTTATTGAATAATAATAATAATAATAATAATAATAATAATAATAATGATATAATAATAATAATAATTATAATAATAATAATAATAATAAAGTAAGATGTTTAATACGTTTAAAAGGAAATTAGCCTTAAAATATTAAAGAAAAAGTAATATGTTTCGCTCATATTTCTCAAATGGTAATTGAAAAGAACTTCCAGGAGATCATCCGACGTTAGTTCTTGAATTCGTCAACTTCCGGAACCAGTCTGTATAGAGCTCAATGATATTACGACATACCCACAAAGGAAAACACATGTTAACTAATGTTGTCACAGTGCCTGATTACTCATTATTCCTGCGCATACCAACAGAATTGCTGACATGTTCACGAAGAATAGGA